GAATGGAAAGAAACTAATGCAATTAGGAAGCTAGAACCAAAAGCTGATATTACGATCTACGACTGGACACAAATGTGTAAAAGGCTAAAAAGAACTAAAGGAGTGCATTGCACAACAAGAAGAAGTAGTACAAGAAGATGTGCATTTATAAAATGCATAATAAATAAACTTTCGACCTTAGAAGAACTTAATAGAAGAAGATCAAATATATATACAACAACAAAGTGCCAAGTATGCCAGGACAAAGTCAAAGAAACACAATCACATTTAGCATCATGCAAAGGACAACAAAGTCTCTGAAAACGAATTCAAAAGGTGACAATTGCAACAGCCTGGAAAGGATTAAAAGAAGAAGAAAAAACAAGCATCCCTCTATATGTACTATATACAGCACTCTTCAGAAAGGTCGAAGCAGAAGAAATAGAAATGAGAGAAGCATTAATCAAAGGCCTAATTCCAAAAAAGACGCAAAACAGACTAATACAGCTTCTAAGTACAAAGGCAAGACAGCGCTTTATAGAGACAGTAGCAAAAACAGCATGGGTCACATTTTATGAACAAGTCTGGAGAATACAATGTGAAAAGATTAATGAATAGAAGAAAAAAGAAGGCATAACAACCAAAATGAAAAAAAAAGAAGTTAAAAGGAAAAATTCAGAAAAGAAAGGAAAGGCGAATCAACAAAAGATTGAAGAAGAAAGAAACTGAGCAAAAGAGAAAAAGAATAGAATTAATGAAAAAATTAGGAAAACAATATTAGAGCTTGTCATGGAAGAGAGAAGACCCTTTCATTACAGACTTTAAGTAGTCAGACAAGTAGCCTACTTCTGTTTGAAGTAGTGCAGCAGGTTGCACTTAGGTACCTGTAAGGTGGCCGGGTGATGCTAGACTTAGTTATTAGATAAATCTATATAATTGCAAATGTAATTTCAAGAGTCTTAATAAAGTACTAGTATGACTGCTTAAGTAAAAAAAAAAAAAATAAAAAAAAAAATAAAATAAAAAAAGTAATAACAATAATTTGTAATAAAAGTTTCTAACAATCTTTTATACCAACTTTTTTCTAAAAGCCTGATCTATGAAAACTATATAATTATTATATTATATATAACAAAACTTTACTTTGAAGTAACTGAGATTAGAGGTTATTTACTGCATATTGTTTATAATTAAAAAGAGCTAAAAATGACTTAAATTCTTGTAAGCAAAGTTCTCTAATATAAAACTTAAGTACTATTAAGCAAAGAAGTAGTAGATGAGCTCTGGAGCTTTATTAAGTACTATAAAAGCTTAGGTCTAAATAGTTACTTAGTTAATATAATATTTTGTATAGCATAACTTTTATAATTCTTTTACAAATTAGTTATCTCTTATGTCTTTACTATTGGATTTTTCTTTCAAAATTTTTATCAAAAAGTAGAAAATTTGATATACTTTCTCTAAAAAATTGATATTGTTTATTTTTTCAAATTAGTAACAATAATCATAAAGAAGTCATAACACTACATACATGACTTATGATGAATGATATGTATTAATCTCAAAAAGAAAACAAAAACTTCAACTTTTCTTCTTATATAATAAATAAAATATATTATAATATAAAAATAAAGCAAATATAAGGTATTCTTTATTTAGTATTATATATAATTTTTAATGCTAAATATAACCAAAAATAGTGCTTTCATGTTTTCTGTTTTTTTTGTCTTTTTTTTCTTTTTCTTATTTTTTATTTTCTTTTTAGCTTATATTTAAGTTTTATAATTATTTTTATTTTTTTTTTATTTTTTTTTTTAGTTTTTCTTTTATATATATTTTGTTATTCTTTAGACAAGAATTATAGAATCCTCTTGCTTAATAATTAGAAAAGAAGAAATTTAAAGATTTAACAGCCATGATAAGCCTATAGAAGCATTCAGTAATATATCTTGAAGATTTAATTAATTTGAAATAATAGGTATTAAAATAATATCTATTATAGCAAATTACATATAAATACTTTAAGAAGTAACTGAATGAGTCAATATTTAAAAATAGAATAATAAGGGTATGCTCTTAAAAGACTTTGTTATAGTTTTTAAAAGTTATCTGAATAAAAATATTAGCATAACTGCTGAAAGTTAAAAAAAATTGTAATAAAAGTTATATAAATATGTAGTAAGATAATATTTACAAAATTAGTCTAAATAATTTATATATTAATTTTATTTAAATTATATATTTAAACAAATTTAATTATATAAAATAATTAATAAAAATTAAAATTATTTATATTAATTTTTTTTAATTTTAAACAATATTATTTTAACAACTAGTTGATTAAATTTAATAAATTTTTTATTTAAAAGTTATAAATCTATAAAACTCAAAAAAAAAATATTTTTATAAAATTTAATTAAATAAATATTAAAAATATCTTTGTTTAAAATTTTAATAAATTTTAATAAAAATAAATTGCTTAATTTTTATTTTTTTATAGTATATTTTGTATTTTAATAGATTTTTTTAATAATTTAAAATTTTGATATATAAATAATTTTTGTTATATAACTAACAAAAAATATTATTTATACAATTTTATCTTAACTTTAATATTAACTTCTAATTATTATTTGAATTAATTTGCTATTAAGTATATTAAAATATATCTTGTATCAAATATAAATTATCTAATTAAATTTTTTTTAGTTTATATAATAAGTTAATATTTAATAACATTAACCAAGTTAGTAGTTAAAATTTTTTAAAAAATCTTTATCTTTTTATAAAATTTGAACTTTGATTTATATTTTTTACTATATATAAATATATATATATATATTTTTTTTAATAAAATTTTTAATTAAAAATTATTTAATTAAAGTTGATAATTTAATAACTATATATAACAAACAAATGATTGTAATAATCTATATGCTTTAAAAAAATCAAATTGTTTGATATTTATTATTATACATATCTGTATAATACGTAATTATTAAATCTTTCTACGTAAGGTAGAAAATAAAAACAATTTTTTATAGCTAAAGCTTTCATATAAACACTAATCTTAATATTGCTAGAAAAAACTAATTTTTAATTTTAAATTGAAGCGGCCGACATCAATAAGAACACATGACAAGTGTACTTTGCAAAAAAATCAACATGAAACTAAGACGCATTTATAGTATTTGGGTTTGTTGCTCTGTGATAGCCCGCCCGGCGAATCTACAATTTGTGAAACCATACCCAAAATCCGAATCGGCGTCTTAATAATTACTACCAAAAAGAAATATTAGTAATTTTATACAGTTTAAACAATCGAATATAATAAGTGTACAGTTTATTTTAAGACCATACATATATATATACTTTAATTATTTATTTATACTAAAAATTTGTTTCAGATAAGATTGATACAAAAGTGTGACGCATTTATATTTTAAACTAACAATATATTTTTTTCTTATAAAATCATTTCAATTCCCAATTTTTTTTCAACACATTCTTTCTCCGACTTTGGCACTTGTTGTCTTTGGAGTAAAATAGAAAGCGTAAGTATACTTTAATTCTCAGCGTTTGTTCACACCTTTCATGATGACTTGCACACCCTTTACCCTATACTTCAACTTTTCGTCCCACTTCCGTTCAACTTCGTAATTCTTGCCAAACTTTCTGATGCTCTTCATAAGAAAGTTTTCGCATTTGATGCTTTAGATAAATTTAAATATATAAGAGTAATATATACGTATATTTATATAAGTATATATATATATATATATATATATATATATATATATATATATATATATATATATATATATATATATATATATATATGTATATGTATGTATGTATATATACACCCCTTGTTCAACTTATATTGTCCACATGTAACTATAATCCCCCGTTGGATAGATTCTTATCAACGCCAAAAAAAACAAAAAAAAAACCATCTTTTTTTTACAATTTTTCAGATAATTTTGATTGTTCCTACTTTCTCTTCAACAATAATACACCTATTTTTCCCTTCAAACAATTTTTATCATTGTATTATCACAATCGTGCATCCTCCCCCTATCAATTCCATCCGCAGCAGTGGCTTGTTAATTTTACTGCGCACAGCCCCATTTGTCACTAATAGGTCTCATCATTCTCAATCCTTCAATTCTTCAGCCTCAACTTTTTTTTTTACATTCAAGAATTCATTGTTCGATAAAGACATTTAAATTATATGCATTTTACAGTTTTAATACTTCCCTTAAGTTATTTCTATTATATATATATATATTCCAGTACATAGCAAGGATAGTAAATAAACAGCATTAGTTAGAAGCATTCAAACAACCATTTCTACCACGACACATTATTACAACATAAAATAGACATAAAAACTTTGTCACAGAATTCGAACCACGCTAAAACGTGTACTACTTAATACTAACTGATAACCTTTCACGATTTTTTTTTTTTCCATAGTAAATAAATACACTCGACTGTGTACACACTTCTTAATTATTCATATAAAAATTTTACGATCTATTTGATATAATACACGATGGCGAGTACATCGAATGTCAAGAAATCATCCACTCAACGTAGTTCGCAGAGCTCGAATTACAATGACCATCAATCACAACCACGTCAAATTTTACCAATGTCACGGCAATCGACTCAGAGCAGGGCATATTCACAGGCTCTTCAGCCTCAAGTAATTGTTCCGACACAGTATGATGATATTACGTCAAATAACGTGTCCTCATCAAAGGATTTGACATCTTCAATGCATTTCTTTAATATGGAATATGGAAATTATCAAACAAGTTATTTCGGTCCGGTTCAACTCTATTCTACATCCTTTAGTAATTCACTACATCATTATCAGCAGATACGGTCTTCACAAATGGATCAGACTTTAGCTTCTATATTTTGCTCTGAATGTTTTAGTAATGTTAGGAATACTTCGGTTACCACCGATACAAATTTCTTACAATCCATTTGTAAACAATGCAAGGACAAGTATTCGGCTTTCAAATTCGCCAATCCTAACCTTGCTGCTTTGATTCAGCAATCCATTCGTGCTGTCTCTGGTAACATGAATCATCCCATGTCAGTTTCTGCTAGATCTCATTCAATGTCAAATCAGATTAATCGGTCTTTACCACTCGTGGTTCCAACTCAACAATCCACGCCTTTAGACCAATACCCTATGACCTCTCATTCTACTGATTCTCAATCTGATTTATCAATTGATTATCAAACTGATCGTTCAATTTCTAACGGTCATAATAATGGTGTTGTGAACGATGTCTTCTTCTCTGACCCAATGATTAATGATACCATAGATCAACATCTTTATTTTGATAGTGATGCTTCTTCTGATACGGACATTTTAACTCCTAATCCTCATTATTCGCCTAATCTTTCTCCCATTGAATTGGATGATGATGGCTCAATCTGGAATCTTATTTACGAGGATGAATTCGATGATCCAAAGGAAAAAATCCCTCAATCTCCTGTTAATCTCTCTTCTTCCTCGGAGACTTTTATTTCTTCATCTTCGTCTTTAACTCCAGTATCGTCTTCCGTTCCTGATGTGGTTTCGTCTTCTGTCTCGCAGTCTCAATCGTCAATTATCTCATCCGATGAAATGAACTCTTCGAATTCTATGAATACAATTAATCCTTCATTGATTTCATCTACTTCAAATAATTTCTCTATTGGTTATGATGTTGATAATAATCACGCAAGTGGTAGTACTACCCCTTTAACTGTTACCATTGATCCAAAGTTCATCACTGCCATAGATTCTTCGTCTTTCATTCAGTCAAATAATCGTAATAATAAACCTACTCCGGTTATAATTAATCCAAATTACATTGAATTTGGTGATAATATACCGAGTCCTCCTCTTCAAACTCCCGAGTTAGTAAGCGACAATAGTCTTAAACGAAGAATGTCTTATGCTTCGTCTTCGGATGATGATTTTTCTGACTCGGCATCTACTGAGAAACAAGCAGATAAAAAATTTCGTGTAGATGTTCAAAAAGTTATTAAAGTCAATAATAAAAAACGTGATTCTTTGATTGTTGACGAAAAAAACTATGAGACCGATGAGGATTTATCTTCTAATGACAATCCTCAAAGTAATGATGATTATTCGATGTCCGATGATATAATGGTTGACGAAGTTCGCGAAGTTCATGAAGCTAGCGATGGCATCACTGACGAATATCAAGATAGTACTGATACTATTTATTCTGACGATACTGACGAGGATGATGACGAAGAATATCGCCCATCTGTGAGCAATAAAAAGGCTCGTACTGGTAGAAAGAATTCAAAGTCCCAATCAAAACCAAAATTATTACCATTAAAGCCCCTTCCTTTAGTAAGAAGCGGGATGAAGTCTAAGTCAGTCCCTAGACCAAAGAACAAATCTAAAAATATGTCCAATAAACGGTAATGTTTATCTTTAAAAAAAAAATGTCTATGATTATATTATTCGATATATATATTATTTGACATATATGTTATTAGAATTATATATACATACATATATTATTATTAATATTGTGTTATTTATTCGTATATTTTTATATTTAGTAGAAGAAAGCAAACTCCAAAATCATCTAATTCTTCAAAAAGATCTAGCAAGGCTTCTACACCTACCGCTTCGGTCGCGGATAGTCCGGTCCCAACAACCATCGTGTTACCAATAGAGAAACCTCAAGAATCAGAAGTTCTTGAATTGACATCTCCTCGTTCTACAAAGTCTCCTACCGTCTTTGAGACTTTGACAAAGTCTGGTATTGATTGGTGTAGATATTGTGGTACTACCGAGGGTGTCAACTGGAGACCTGGTCCTTGGGGAAAGCGAACTTTGTGCAAGTATGTCTTTAATATACATTTATTTGCCTACTTATTTTTATTTAAATAAAATTTTATTAATAATTAAACTTATTTGATTTTCTAGCAAACATGGTTGTGATTATAAAGGTTACGGATTCGCATGCAAACTTCCACGATTGGACTTGAAAGATTTTATTAATGAGACCATTGAGGAGCGTGAACGTCCGGTCTTGCAACTTTGTACGTATTATTCATTTACTAATGAATGTGTTTGGTGTTTAATAACAATAACAATTAACAATCTGATTAAAATATTTTGAATTAGTTTGCACAATATGCCAGAAACAAGATTCTTTCGTTAATAATGTTCTTGTTCGATGTGAAGGTTGTCCTAAAGCATTTCATCAAAAGTGCTATACGTCTTGCATTGATGATGAAATTGTAAAAGGTACCGAAGCTTGGTATTGTGAAAAAGGCTGCCAGGAAAATTTGCGAAGAAAACGAATAGGTAGGCTTCATTTATTATTGTTTCCTAAAACGTTTTAATATGTATTTTTTTTAACTTTATTTTTTGTCGATTATAGTTGTTGAACTTCCCCGTAAAAGATTACCTCTCATGTCTACTCCGAAAGTCCAAGCATCTACGTCGATCACAGATTCAACATCTGTACTCAATTCTGGTACTGCATCACGTCCTCGAACTTCTCGTAACTCAACAAGAACGTAAATTTTGGACTTTACAATAGATTGAGATGGCTAAATTATGTTGAACACTATATGGTAAAAAATTTATCTTTGGAATTCATTTTATACGGGATACGGTTTACATTTCTTGAACAATCTGCACGAATATCTTTTTTTTTTCTTTTTTACACAAGAATAATTACAAGATCGAACAATTGTCCTTGCTCTAGTAGCAGGTGTTACCCCCGAAATGTCACATATTTTACGTCTAACTAGACTTGAGTTTATACTATTTTCTACTATCATGTCTTGTAAGACGGTGTAATTTTACCCTTTTTTCCAAACACGTCTCTCGTGACGTCGTTTGTATATATTAATTTAGACAACGAACAATTTATAACTTATTAAAATATCGGTGGGTAGCAGCGAGTAACGGTATTGAGTACCGTTTTTGTAGTATTATATAGAACCTGAACAATAATTATTATTAATAAGTGCCAATTTTCACTGGCATGTCTTGTTAGATTTATTATTCTACCTTCCGCTTCTATTTATTTTCATGTATTATTATAAAAATGTTATTTCCCCCCTACAGTGTGCGTTAATTTCATTATACGAATTAAGCCACTTTTTTAAAAAAGGTTCTAGAATTTTTGGTAATAGCAAACAAGCACAAACAATTTTAGAATGTTACGCAATATAGATTTATACAGATTATTATTATATAGATTTTTTTTTTAAATCATGGAACTCTGTAAGCTTTTAAACCTCATTTCATTACACTTAAATTTAGCATTTAACGCATTTTTTTTTTAATTCACGCACCACTCTCAATTTCATCACCAACTCAAACATACGGAATTACGCTTTTTTTTTTTTTTTTTTATACGAATTAAAGGATGTTTTATTCTAATGTACATATTTATTTGGGATATGGGGGTGGTTTTTAGTTTGATGATAATTACCTTTAATAATATTAAAAAATAATAGTAATGTTAATAATAATAATAATTTGTAATGTGTAATAAAAAGAAAAGAATGATAACTTTAAAAACACGAGACTTTTTTCCATTGAAATGTCATGCGATATTTCTGATGTAAAATTCTTAAAAATAGATCATAATTATGAATGATTTAAATTAAATGATCAATCTTTGACCGAATGGGACGTCTTTTGTGACCTGTTGACTAATTATAGGCTATGGTCTTATGACCTGTTATTATGGCTTATCGTTATAAAATTTACTATTTCATTATGACCATCTTGGTCATGTCAATATAAAGTTGGATATGACCTAATACTGTTAAATTCGGTTTTTTTTTTAAAAAAAGAACTAAATATGAACCTAATTCCGACATGATTGACTCGGAATTATAGCTAACTCCGGTCAATCTATCAGTCACGAAATTCTCACAACATATATAATAAATTTTTTATGTTTCACATAAATATGTTCTTGGAGAACACTGAGAATATTTATTTCACTGGCCAATCAAATTTCGTGATTATATGAGACGCGAAAAAACGCGAAAAATCAAAATATGTCACAGAACGGATGTATCTCAAAATTTTGCATATGTAACAATCTGCGCACTAAAAAAAGGGTTCCTTGCAAAATTTTGGTAGTATCGTACTTTTGAATATTAACCTAATAGTGAAACCATATCCATAACCTAGTAGCAAAGTTTTTTTTAAGTTGGTAAAACTAGGGTCATTAGCATTAACGCGTGCAATTTTTCTAGTTAAATTTCACCAGTATCTTTAATTATAACGCAACAGATGAGATTCGCTATATATATTGGTTAAAAGCTATGCAGGTTGCATGAGGATGAAATCCGCGTTAATATAAAAAAAAAAAAATTTATGCTAACGCGAATACCACCCTAACATGACGACCGAAGCGGATTTTACTCGAGTTTCATCCTGTTCTATTCTAACTTTGAAATGATGCCGCCATTTCCGAAATGGAAATCTATTTCCACCATGCTTTTCACAGACTTCAGTTACGTAAACATGACTGGAAATAGGCGTTTCTTAATTTAATTGAAGATTTCAATAAGTAACAATTATTGTTCGTATTCGGTTAAATTAAATCTCGGCTCTCTTTAAATTGTATATATCGAAATAACGATATTTCGAGATAATATGGGCTGCCGTCAATAGAAATCAGGCAGATTGACATTTTAAAAAAAAATTAATACTTACCTTTCACAGCTCATATCTCGATGAATTTTGAAGCCAATTTAATTATTCAATAGCCAAAAGAAAGCTTAGATCTCAACCTTTCTTTAATATTAAATAATTAAACTAGCTTCCAAATTCATCAAATTATGAGCTGTGAAAGGTAAGGTTTAAAAATTTCAATCTGCCTGATTTCTATTGACAGCCCATATGATAATGTTACGATCTTCAACCTTTTCGTGATCGAGATAAAATCTTAAAGAATTGACATTATATTGAGTAAAGCGTGCCGATATTGGAATTATGTCAACACAAAAATACGATATAATCGATAGTTAAGACTTTAGGATTTTTCGGACAGATTGCCGCTTAATATTAATCACGTCCGAAAATCAAAAAAATTGGATTTTAGAATATATTTTAGAAATTTGGAGCATTCTGAAGTAAGCTCAAGATTTTTAGGACGTTCGAAACCAACTTTATTTTCGAGAATTTTACTAACTTGTTAATATCTATGAGGGTATGATTTTTATATAACCCAAACTCAATTTTTATTAATGAAAGATTGATATTAACGAGGGTCATCTGTAGCATAACATTTACTTATAGTTATATCTCACCGTCATTCTTCACTCTGTACAGTGTTAAATGATTTAGGTCAAATTTCCTGATGGGTTGACCTATTCTTCAACCTACTCTATTAAATTAGACCCTACTCTAAGTTTCTCTAAAGCTGCTCCAGATGGCTCCAAATTTATAGACATTTTTAAATCAATTTCATCTTGAGTTAGATCCATCCTGGGGTAGCTCCGGAGTGATCCCGAGTATGCTACCCCATTAAAAATCCTGCATAGTGCCTACTTACAACTAGGGTTGTTAATGGAGTGGCATACTTCCGGAGTGAGCCCAACCCAAGTTGGAGTGGGTTAAAGATATGCTTAAAAATCTGGTGCAGATCTAAGTAAGCCTGGAGTGGCTCCGGAGTGAGCCCAACCCAAGCTGAAGTGGGTTGAGGAGTTGTTCAACTCATTAACAACCATAGTTGGCTCTCATGTAGGTATAATTTTCCACGTAAATTCAAATATGAAATAGTTTCACATCATTACCACACCATCGATTGGTTTTTGTAATTTTTCAAGCCAAAAAGGTTATTAGTAAAATTTAATACCGTACTAGATTTTCAGCAAAAGTAGTGTTGCTTTTATCGGTAGACATGTGTGGTATCAGAACATAGGATTTTGACACTTATTAATTTGAAAACTACCTATGCTAATGTTATCATGTACTTCAACATTGGGAAATAAACATAGGAATCTTTGTCGCCACTCATTATTGAAAAAAGATATGCAAAAAGATTTATTTGATTTTAATCTTTTTTATTTAGTTTAACAAGTTTTTTTATCATTCATATTTCTAATTCATGGGTCAATTTTTAAAAAAAACGATTCGAAGTTTCGGCTTCAGGACATCTTACTCTTGAGTTTTTTTCATTTTCTCTTCTCTCAACGCTTTGGCGAAAATTCCACTAAGAAATACGGGTTTGCCACTATTATACAACCGAAGAAAAATGTTAGGAGTCGTAAAAAAAAAAGCGCGTTAAAATTCATTAAAGTTTGTTTAAATGAATAGTTAATTTAAAGAGGTTACCATTCGTAGTTTTTCGCTTTCTTTGCCCGTAGCATTTTGGTACAGGGGGATAAAATGCTGTCTGTAGGAGAACTAAAACTAGTAGTTCATAGATATAATAATGTTATAAATAAATTTCATTAAATATTATTTTAATATTTCTTTTGAATTGCTGACTTACTTAAAAGACTTATTCGGAAAGAAATGAGTCGCTTTAGGTTTTTGAACGTGCATTTCTTGAATCTCCATTATGTTCTGACATTCTTCGTTAGACACTTCTTCTTGACAACTTTTGGCTGAATAAACTTCATTGTCCTTGGTATAAACAGTAGTCTGAGTAGTTTGATGAGATGCCATGGTATTCATACTTTAAAGACGGTCTCTTTATTATTGATATAATGAAGAGTTTTTTTCCCTCTCTACAAACGCGTCCTTTTTTATATTTGTTTATACTTTATTTCACGTGACCGCGTATCATCAGGTTGGAATTGAGTTCGGCCAAAATTAAGGGTTTGAAAATCAACGGCCTACATCACTTTGTTAATGCCAGCTGACTTAACTCTAGAATTCTATTTTGTTCTCTATAACATCCGACCAGAATTAAAGACTTAAAATAAATCGGCCTGCATTACAATAACCGACTCGATCCTCTATCTGAAATTCTACAAGTTCTCGTAATTTGAATCACGGATTTTTTTATTGTGTATTGTAATAACCTCTTTAATAACACGAATTTACCAAATATCGAATTTACCGTTACTAAGCAATTCAACGTCAAAAAAAAAACTTTTACGTTATCGTTATCGTTATGACTCACAATTTTATATGCTGCCGGCATATTATCCGAAATATATGAATCTTAAATGATATTAAACAGATTAAGAACAGGTCTTTCCTTTTCATTTAATTCACAAAGGAATTTTTACAAGCTTCTTATCCAAAGAGAAGAGAAAACTTATCCAAATTTTAGCGGCATAACTCTCAGGCTTAACTTTTGTTCAAGTATGGCCGCGTTTAGCCGTTCTTCTTTAGAAGAATTATTGAAAAAGCGCTTTTTCTACGCGCCTTCTTTCCAAGCATACGGTGGTAAGGCTTTTTTTTTAACGAAAAAAAAAACTTATATAGAGAAATGTGTTTCAAGAGACAAATTTTAAGAATTGGCATGATATATATTAAAAATATATATATATAATAATATTTGATATTTTTTTTCTCACCTCAATTCAAATTCAAATTTAAAATTTGAATTTAAAAAAGGTGTTGCGGGACTTTATGATTATGGCCCACCCGGTTGTGCTCTTCAGGCTAACATCCTCCATTTATGGCGTAAACATTTCGTGCTAGAAGAGGAGATGCTTGAAATGGATGGTGCAATTATTACGCCAGCAGATGTTTTAAAAACATCTGGTCATGTGGATAAATTTAGTGATTGGATGGTTAAAGATACAAAGACTGGTGATATTTTTCGCGCTGACCATTTAGTTGAAGCTGTTCTAGAAGGAAGACTAGATGGTGACAAACAGGCTGAAAATGATGTAACATCTCAAAAGGATAAAAAGAAGAAAAAGGGTGCAGTTCAAGCTGTAAAATTAGAAGATACTACTAAAATGGAATATGAAGAGATTTTAGCAAAGGCAATTTTAATTTCACAAAACGATTGCAAATATAGTCGATTCTCTCTAAATGCAGCTCCGCTGGCATAGAAACAATTATTATTAAAAAAATAAATTCTCGCATTTGAAGATTTATAATAAAACTTACGAATTAAAAAACATCTACACTTAGAGAGAATCAGCTGTATATTTATTTAACATCGATATTAACTAACGGTGCTATTTATATTATTAATGTATTAATAAAATAGATTGATAATTATACTGGTTCGGAACTTGGGGAAATCATACGTAAACATAATATCAAAAGTCCTGAGACGGGTAATGATCTAACCGTTCCTGTCGAATTTAATTTAATGTTTGAGAGTAGCATTGGGCCCACTGGACATCTGAAAGGGTAATCTAAGTCTCTCTTGATCTTGTTTTTCGTATGCTTATTAAATTGTAATTATATCTTGTTAATTTTCGTTTATTATTTTTGTTATTTTAGCTACCTTCGACCGGAAACCGCACAAGGCCAATTTCTTAACTTTAAGAAATTTCTTGAATTTAACAATGATAAAATGCCATTCGCTTCTGCTTCTATCGGTCGTTCTTTTAGAAACGAAATTAGTCCAAGATCGGGTCTTCTCCGAGTCAGGTGAGAATTATCTCAATCCTTATCATTTCTCGTCTTTTTTTCTTTTTAACGTGTGCTTAATTATTTAGAGAATTTACAATGTCTGAAATCGAGCATTACGTAGATCCTAACAACAAGAAACACACCCGTTTCGATGAAGTAAAAGACATTAAACTTTCCTTGCTGCCACGACATATACAGAGTGAAGGTAAAACAATACCCATCGAATTAACTATTGGTGAAGCTGTCGAAAAAGTAATTGTCAACTCGATTCTCAACCCGATTTTATAATTTATTCTTGATTAATTCATAAATTTATATTGCATTTGACAACACAGAAAATTGTAGATAATGAAACTCTGGGCTATTTCCTTGCTCGCACACATCTATTTTTAACCATGCTTGGTATTAAACCCGATAGACTTCGTTTTCGTCAACATATGCCTAATGAGATGGCACATTACGCTTGTGACTGTTGGGATGCAGAAATTCAAAGTAGCTATGTGTGTTATCTCTTCATTATTATCTAGATTATAAATTTCTCTTTATAAATTTTTTTTAACAACTTTTATTAGGGATGGATAGAGTGTGTCGGTTGTGCTGATCGGTCTGCATATGATTTGACCGTTCATACGAATCGTACAAAAGAAAAGCTTATAGTACGTGAGACCTTAGCTGAGCCGTTGGTCTATGAAAAAACTGTCTTGGATATCAACAAGAAAATATTTGGTCCTAAGCTAAGACAAAATGCAAAAACGGTGGAAGATTATTTAACTAACTTGAATGAAGAACAATTAGAAGCTTTGAAAAAGGAATTAGATGGAAATGGGTAAATTCTGTAAATTCTATATATATATATGGTCATAATTTATTGATTTAATAATTGATAAATTCCTTTGGCATGATTTAGCAAAACCATGGTCTCATGCGCTGATGGCAATCAATATGAAATATCAAGTGATTTTATTACTATTCAGAAACAGACCATCACAGAACATGGTATATGAACTTACTATTATATTTATTTATCTCGTTTTTTTGATTTATTGCTTAGTGTAATGTTATTCTTACTTTTTTGAATTTGCGTATAAAGTCAGGGAATATATTCCCAATGTTATAGAACCATCTTTTGGTATTGGTCGAATCTTGTATTCATTGATTGAACATGTATATTGGACACGAGAAGGTGATGAACAAAGGGCGGTACGTTACTGCATTTTTGACTTCAAAATCTAACAAGTTTAGTATTTAACTGCTGATCACATTCTTAATAGGTTTTATCGTTTCCTCCACTCGTTGCACCTTTCAAATGTTTACTAGTGCCTCTAAGTAATAATCCTGCGTTTTCTAAGCTCGTACGCGATCTTTGTGAGTACTACTAATATATTATATTTTCATATGATACTAATCATTCAGTATAATTAATTTATTGGTTTTATTATTCAATCACAATAATGCATGCTACAAATCCTAAAAGCTTCTAAACTTCGTAAGCTTCATATTGCCATTAAGGTAGATGACTCTTCCAATTCGATTGGACGTCGTTATTCTCGTAACGATGAGCTTGGTACACCATTCGCGATCACCATTGATTTTCAATCTGTGAATGATGGCACTGTAACATTGCGAGAGAGAGATTCTACTAAACAAATTAGGGAAAAGGTAACCCTATTTTATAACGAGGAACTATTGATGGTCTTATAAAAATTTTATCTCTAAATGTTTAAATTTTCTCTTAGACTGACACCATACTTCAAGTTCTTAAAGATTTGGTTGAAGAAGATATCACCTGGGAAGAAGTTTTATCAAAATATCCTACATTCGTACAACAAGAACTTGACTGATAAATTTTTGTAATTAGTAAATAACTATAAAATATTAGTGTTAATACTTTTATTTATGTTGACAATAAATAACTTTTTTTAAGTGGGATCGAAATGATTTTATGAAAATCTTTATACTATATTCTATCATAAATAGATGTTCCTTTTTAAATTTTTTGGGTTAGATTACTTATAATCTGGTGATTGAATCCAGATTATTTGAACCGTATTATTGGAACGACCCAAATAATGCCAAAATCATCTGAATTACGAGAGATTTGATCCCGAAATCATAGGGGTGCTTGTTAATGATTGTAGCCGATTTTACGTTAGCAGATAAAATCGACTTAGTGTTAGTAACTAATACAGCTGATTTAATTCTCTGCCGACTAGCTCTTAGGCCCGGGCGTTGCTTCGGGGCTGGATTTCAAGTTTTTTATAGTTTAAATTTGCAGTATCCTAGTTTTTTCAGACATTGCTCTGGGGTCAAGGTTACAAAATTTTATAGTATCTATAATTTTTTAGTTTTCTAGTTCTTAGGTTTACGTAATGCTTTAGCGATTAGGTCTTAAGTATTTTATTGTTTAAATTTATAGTTTTTCAGTTATTTGGTTTGGGTATTATTTTCAAAGCTAGGTTTCAAGTTTTTTATAGTTTTATAGTTTTTAATTTTTAGCTTTTTTTTAGTTTTTAGACTTGAAATTAGAATTTAAATTTTTATAAATTTTTAATTTTTAATTTATAGTTTTCGGTTTTTGAATTTAGGTTTTGTTTTAAAGATTAGATTTTTTAAAAAAAAAACTTGGCAGTAATTATTGGTTTTTTATTCAATTCTAGTAAGTAAAGAAGGATTTTATTACATATTTATAAATTTTTTTTTTTTTTTTTGATGTTAAGGTGACCTTTTTGGTCTTTTGACTGTTATTAACAATTTATTGGTAATATGATTCTATAAACCATTACAGAAGAGAGTACAATTGGTTACACATGTAATTTTTTTATATTACCTATTTAAGGAGTTTGTTTGAAGGTTTCTTACCAATTATCATATCTAACACTCCTGTTTGGATGTTTCATTTTAAACCTTCTGAACCTGTAATCTGTATTAACTCATTGGATTATACACAAATGTTTAGATCATTGCCTTAACCTTAGGATTAATTTATCTTCAAGGTAAACTCCTTAAAGCTTTCTGTACATATTTTTATAATTGACTTAGGTATCATTATAATTAAATTAATACTTGTAATCAGAGTTATATTATTTAATTATTGTGCTCTTGTAGAGTTTACACAGATCTTAGCATCTACTTCATAGTATAATTTTGATACTTTAGTATACTCTTGTCTTTTTATCTATCTTTTTACCAAATTTCCAATTCAAATAGTCTATATAGAATTATAACTAGTTTATTGATATATCAGATTAGTCTAATATTCTTTTTCTTTGATTTGTTTTGATGATCTGATTGGTAGTACTTTTGAAACTTCCAATATTAAGATTCTTACCTGTCTAGTTACTATAATTAGGTATTATGATCTTGGTATCCATTTCTTTGAACTAGTTTTTACAATAAGATCATTAAAGATCTGGTTATCTCTCTATTTAGGTTTTTCCAAATAGATTTCTTGTTATCTAATTTTAACAAATTTATACAGCTATAAGGATTTATCTAGTATTTATATTGCTGATTTGTTAGTTTGTATTCTTTTGTATAACTAGTTATACAGATACCTTATGACCTGTTAATTATATTGATGCAATTACTATTACAAATATTCTAATTTAATTATTAATAACAATTATCATAATTCAAATATTATATAGATGATTATTCAAATTTTCACTATTGATAGGATTTGAACATTCAACCTATTACTTGGAGGATTAACAACCTGATCACTTTACTAGGTCATTATAGTCTAAAAATATTTTATTATTTAATATTAGATTATATTATTTTAATACAAATTATTAATTTTTCACAATTATTTTTAATAGCATTTATATTATTTTATTATATATTTTATATGTTATAAAATTAGATCAAAAAAATAGTAATCTTAGTATAGTAGTTGGGTTATCATCTTTCAAATAATAAGTCTAAGGTTCAAATCCTATTTATAATGAAATTTGAAAATTAATCTGTATTATAAAAACTGTCTTCTATTAATTAGTTGGTTTTATGTAGCTGTAATTCAGATATATCAAGTTAAATTCTACTTATTATTAGAAGCTTAAGGCATCTATATAAAGTGTAATATTATATTTATATAGAGAAATGTTAATAACTAATATTATATAAAACTTCAGTACAAATCTATGATAAGACTACTAAATATAGAAAACTAAGAAATTGAGAAGACAAAATCTTTTTTTTTTTTTAAAAAATAAAGTCTTGCTTATATCTTTATTAAATAATTTATAAAATAGTATCATATGTGTAGTACATATATTTCTACTATTTGTACTAGTATAAATAAAAAGAAAATTATATGCAAGAATAAAAGCTTAAACAATTAAATAAATCTAATTTATCTGTGATTTAAACCTACTAAAATGGTCAAAAACTCACCTAGATAATATTATTTATAGTTAAAATAAAGTTAGAAGTTGTGTGATACTTGATCTACAGAATAACCTAAGTACTAATTTTTCTAAAGACCTGTCCAACAAGTAGACAGGTTCTAGTATGTGAATAAAGTTGGTCAGGTTGATCACAGAAACAAGAATATGTAAAATTATGATGAGTATGTATATTATTTCTATTGTGAAAAGATAAGTTTTGTTGCATAGTATGTGTATTGGTTATTTGTTATTATTTTTTTCAATTTGAAAAATTAACACAATAGTGTTTTCATAATTGTTCATAGATTTGTTTGTTAATTTCAAACAAAATATTAATTGTAATTGTTGATACTAGTTTGTATGAAACTTCAAAATCTTGTATAGTTTTAATTAGAGATAAGGAAATAAAGCCTTTTGAGAATAATTTCTAAGTAGTGTGATAATGAATGAAGAGATGTTTTTTTGAAAGCTGAATGGTCTTTAATTTTTTGGATAAGTTCTTTAGTTTTATTGTTAAAGAAATCTAAATTAGCTAAGATTATATAATTAGTTATTGCATTAAAAATAATGTTATTAAAAAGAAAGAAATTAGTACAAGTGCACCAATGTAATGATGACATAATTGAATTGCAGTGAAAGCAGTTGGCATCATGAAAGGTTAGAGGATAGATTTTATAATAGAGGTATTGAGTAAGTAGTTCATTAAGAAATATTTTAATTTTAAATGATTTGGATTGGTTAAGTTTAAAATTAGTAAGATTGTAAATAGATTTTTGATTATAATTGAAGTATAGCCAGGTTGAATTCCAGTCAATATGATGGGCTAATGGAGTCTATTCATCATTTCATTTTTGTGATGATCATAGTGCAAAGTTATAAGCTTTACAGATACTTTTAACAAAGATCTAATAGGAAGTTCAATAGGAAATTTTTCTGTTTCAAAGAATAATAAATGATATGGGTTGTAAATATTTGTATAATTAAATTATAATAGTGATTCATTTGTATGTTGCTTAGCAAGTTAGTTTGCTAGATTGTTAAGAATATTGTCTGAATAAGCTTGAACTTTATGAAAAATGATATTTAATTTGTATAATTTAATAATATTTAATAAGGTATGCCATAATGGCCAAGAATTAAATTTAAAAAGTTTATTAGGATTTAGAGGTGATTGATTGAGTTGAATGAATTTTGATATTATAGATTAAGAATCTGTATAGATATTAATTGTAGAATTTTGAGAGATAGTTGAAATAGCAGATAGAATAAAGAAGAGTTTAGCCTTGTAAGAAGATAGCCAGAGGTGAACTTTGGCAGTAAATTTGTGAAGAACTTGATTATTAGAATCTATTTGAACCTAGTTAATATCTATAATACAGTTATTTGTACTTATACCAATTACTGAACTATTGGTATAAACGTTAAATGAGTTATATAGTAGGTTATTAGAAGATATTTGATCAAGTTTGTTAGTTGCATTACTTGCTTTAAAAATTGCAGAAAAGATAGGATTGAAAATAAGAATAAAAGGCAATAGTAGTGGTAAGGAATTTGGCAAAGGCCATTTAATTGCAGCAAAGCTAAGAAGGTCTAGGTAGTTTGCATTTATTTTAACTGAGTTTGAAATAATTCTACCAAAAAATTAGACAGATGTAATAGATGAAGTATTAATAGTGCATGATGTAGTTATTTGTTGTAAGTTGACAACCTAAACAAGGAACAAAATTAATTTGTTGAAGTAGGTAGTAATTAGTACTATTTATATTAATATCAGTTTACCAATATGTAATTGAAATTTGGTTAGAGTCTGTAAGATGTTTACAAATTTTGGCTATAATAATTTTTTTATTATTGAAAGTAATCAGCCATAGTTTATGTTTTTTGGAGATATTATATATGTTATATGTGAAAGAGTTTGTTCCTTGCTGTTGGTATTGAAGTTTAAGAAAGTAATGATAATGATTTTCTATAATAAGATTTTCAAGTTCAGTAAACCAGATCAGTTTTCTGCCTTTAGGCAAATAAAGAAGTCTTGGAGATAGATGTAACCATTCAAGAAGTGTAGTATTGTCTGAGATGCAAAGTTGTTCAAGATAAAGTAGATTTAGTCATCTAAGTTGTTTTTTAAAGGTTGTATATTTGGAGTAATGTTGGAGAATAAGTTCAAGAGGTTGAAGTTGATAATGGATAATGTTTGGCTATAATGTATTACTATTAGTTCTAATAAAGACAGCAATTTGTAGAAATAGTTGGATGATTTTAAAATTAAGAGTATGTTTATTTTGACCATCAATATTAGGTTGAGGATGTTCAAAAATGTTTATAGTAGACCAAAGGTTGTTTTGAAACTGTTATAATCTAATATGAATAAAAACACCTAGTAAATAGGAATCATTAATTTGTTAAAAAAATGAAATAATATGGTGTTGTAATTGTATATCCCAAATATTACA